TCTGCCAGCTGTGCCGTGCAGGCAACAATAAAATGGATGTGGAACACATGACTTCAGGAGAACAAATAGCAAAAATAAATAAGCATCTTTCTCCTGTGAAGCTGCTTGCAGGTCCTGCCTCGAGGCTGCAGGAAAGCAGCTCCCMGAGCTGGGGGCTGCACATGTTGGGTTAAACTCCCCAGCTCAGGCTCAGGGGAATCCTGGGCCTGACTCTTGGTTTCTTTTTGAAACGACATCTTCATACCCAGTTTATGCCACCTCCACTCGGGATGTGATCCAGTGTTCCTGAAATAAACTCGAGTCCTTCAATAGCCTTCAGCTCAGTCTAAATCAGCTGCTCCTCTGATTTCTGCTCTTTCTCCCATTCCTCCCTCCCACTACTCCTGGGACTTTTCCTTCCCTGGCACTGCACAGCGTAGCTCATCAAGCCAGCAACAGCTGTCCTGTGCCTGCTCCAAACCCTGGGAATGTCACCTCATTTGCCTGCTCCAGCTCTGCCCATCCTCTCCCAGACAGAAGCACGCAGCAGATATATCCAGTTTCCCTTCCCAGGTCTCTCTCTGGGTAACATTTCCCTTTCCCACACCTGCTGCAGCCACGAGCCTGCTGCAGCCCTGGCCAGACGTGCTCCAGGCCCAGCACATCGGCTGGACGTGGCCATGCAGAGGCACAGCAAACAGGGAAAAACCTTCCCTGGCATCCAAGAGCCCTCTGGGGTACCACACATTGCCGGGAGGAGAGGTTTTGCCCTGACTGAGCTCAGCACCATTCCCTAACTCGGCATCCTGCTCCGGCAGCCATCTTCCAGGGAAGAGGGAGAACCACAGGAGCAGAGCTTGGTCCGTGGTTCTGTTTAGAGGCAAATCTGTGTCTGTGTGTGTGGATATTCTCCCTGTCTGAAAGGCTGCTCTGTGTGGCCTGGAAGGAAATGGGCCAAGGTCCTTACGGTTGTTAAAAATCTCATGATACTTTTGCAAGCGGGATGGTGTAAATCAAACCACTGGGCACCAGCTCCCTCGCTCCGGGTAATTTATATTCTGCCTCACTAAGTTCATCTCTGCACTTCCAATGCATGAAGTGATTTTTCACTTCCCCTGTAGTATTTGCTGGCACGGAAAAGCTGCTGGGCTCTGTCCCAGAAGTAGCTGCATTTCATCACCGGGTGAGCGATCCCTGTGCACACCGGGCCGGGTCCCCTCAGGCTGCGCTCGCCCCGCGGCTCCGGAGCGGGAGGACACGGCCCCCGCCCTGCCGCACCTGGGAGAGAGGAGCGGAGCGGAGCCCCGCAGGCACCGAGCGCCATCCCGGCCCCTCCGCCGGCACCGGGGATGCGGGAAGGGGTGCGGGCAGGGATGCTGTGGACACACGGACAAGGATGCGGGAAGGGATGAGAGCAGGGGTGCGGGTAGGGATGCGGTAGAGACACGAAGAGGGATGCGGTAGAGACTCGGGCAGGGATGCGGTAGAGACACGAACAGGGATGCGGTAGAGACTCGGGCAGGGATGCGGGCAGGGATGCGGGAAGGGATGAGAGCAGGGGTGCGGGCAGGGATGCGGGCAGGGATGCGGGAAGGGATGAGAGCAGGGGTGCGGGCAGGGATGCAGTAGAGGCAGGAACAGGGATGCGGGCAGGGATGCAGGCGAGCCCCGCTCCTCTCCGCGCTGCTCCGCGCCCGGCGCTGCGTGGAGCCACAGCGCCCCCTCCTGGGGCCCGGCGGCACCGCCCGCCAGCCGCAGCGGGGCTGTGCGGGGCTGTGCGGAGAGGAGCGGGGCTGTGCGGGGCTGTGCGGAGAGGACCCGAGCTGTGCGGGGCTGTGCGGGGCTGTGCGGGGCTGTGCGGGGCTGCGCAGAGTGGTGAGAGGCTGTGCGGGGCTGTGCGGGGCTGTGCGG